TGCAGGAGGGGGGGTTATAGGCATGCTACTGGACACGTAACATGCCAACTAAGCTAAATTGGAAGAAATCGGTAAAAGGGACTACATTTAATCGGTTATAACAACCCTATTGGTGTAATATGAAAAAAAAAGACTTAGGGACCTTTTGTGGACAAAATGGAAACCTTATTACCATGCTAGGTCATTAACCCTATATATATATATATATATATATATATATATATATATATATATATATATATATATATATATATATATATGGATGAGATCCGTTGAGAACTCATAGTTTCCCGACACTAAAAATGTAGTGTTAAATCAAAATTAACTCATTAAGGGCATGATCATCATCCTACCAATCTTGTTTAATATTTGATTTTTTGTGTTATTGGAAATCTTAATAACAAGATCTAAAAATTAAAATGATAAATCAAATTTTTGGATTTAAAAAAAAATCGAATTTTTAAAAATATGCAGATTTTTTAAATTTTTTTAGAAACTATGAATTTTTTGTTAAAAAAATTGAAAAAATATAAAAAATGCAACTTTTTTAAAAACAGTAAATTTAAAAAATAAAAAATAATAATAAGAAAAACTATAATTTTTTTAACCAAATAATCAACATTTTAGGTGCATATATGCATATTTTTTCAAGTGTATATACACATATTTCTTATAATATAATATTAATAAGTAAATTATAAAAAAATCATTTTTATTTACTAATCTATAAACACAATAGTACAAATATTTTATTCGCTACAAAATAAAATATAAAAAACCAAAAATATTACAAAGATTCACAGTGTTAAGATTTCTTCATGTCGTGATTTCCATATTTTCTTCAATCTATTACTTTTCACCTCTTCAATATTTTCCACAAATTCTTCCAGATCTAGAAGAAAATTAATTTTGTTTGATTAATGCAAGAACACTCACAAACATACATATGTATATATCATGTAAGATTCACATGTGATCATATCATGTAAAATTCACTTGTGATTATATAATGTGATATTCACATGTGATGTATCTTTTAATATTCAAATGTGAAATTCATAAGAAATTTTTTTTAAAATTATACACAAAACGCATGTATGCATATAGACGAAATTCATATGTGATTCACTTGTGAGTTACATGTGAATCACATTTAATTTATATGTGAATCACATGTAATTCATATATGATTCATTTGTGATTTACATCTAATTTACATTTGAATCACATGTAATTAACTTGAGATTTACATGTGAATTACATGTGATTCATATGTGAATTACATTTGATTTACATGAAATCACATGTAATTCACTTGTGATTTACATGTGAATCGCATTTAATTTATATGTGAATCACATGTAATTCATATATAATCATTTGTGATTTACATGTGAATCACATGTAATTCACTTGTGATTTACATGTGAATTATATGTGATTCATATTTGAATTACATTTGATTTACATGAAATCACATGTAATTCACTTGTGATTTACATGTGATTCACATTTAATTTATATGTGAATCACATGTAATTCTTATATGATTTATTTGTTATTTACATGTGAATCATATGTAATTCATATGTAAATTACATATGAATTACATGTGATTTACATGTGAATCACATGTAATTCACTGGTGATTTACATGTGATTCATATGTGAATTACATTTGATTTATATGAAATCACATGTAATTCACTTGTGATTTACATGTGAATCACATGTAAGTCAAATGCTCAAAAGTTGTTATGTTGTGAACAAAAAGAATTTAAGCTAATGAAGAAGTGGTAAAACATCCAATAAAAAAAGCAAAAAGAAGCATAATTGATAGATTCAAATCATCACATGCACACTAGTTGTAAATAATTGCATCATATGAGATAATTATTTTACATTGGCTTTCCTATGTCATAAACTCGATGGTTTCAAGAAATCAAACTCCATAATGGTGAATGTATTGCCAAATTTCTAAATTATTGCATCATATAGTGTATGACAACTTCTCCACAGATCCTACAGTTCCATAACATAAATCAACGAGATAATATAACAAACCTTATAGAATATAAAAATATTGCAAGATACAAGCTAGCAATCGAAACAAATTATAGACTTCAAGTCTTGAATATCTTCTTTTAAAAATTTTATCTACAAAAGACCAAGGATTGCACCAACCATTTCAAAACATGCAGCAAAAATTAAATAATTCACAATTAAATCAATTTTTTTGATCATCAATCAAAAACTTTTATTAAACTATAGCAAGTCAAACTTTAAATATTACTAAATTTATAAGGATAAATAAAAAAATAAGAGAAAATGTTACCTTAAGAACCGGAACTTGACTTCTGAACCCAGACCTGTTTCTGCATTCCCATCACATATTAATATTAATAAATTAATAATCATAATCTAGAAGAAGAAAAAAATGCAAATAATATATTAATGTTATAAGTTATACCTCATGAGAACCATATCCATTAGAAACTCTTTTTTTAAGGTTTTTCCTCACCACCTGCTGCATCATTAGTGTTGTTGTATGATGATGGTCAACGCCTACCACAATGTTTATAGGATCCTGCATATTTATCTACATAATATAATTTCTTTCTCATTTCTTTATCATAAACTAAAATAAATAAATCAATTGATGTGATATATAATCCTACTTAAAGGAATGGAATGAGCAATTACATTCCATAATCATGTTTTTAAATTAATAAAAAAAATTCTTTCTCATTTCTTTTTTTTAATTAATAAAAAAGACATTCAAAACTTACAAGGGGTATTACCTTTTTCTTTGCCCTTCAACAAAAAATTTTCTTTTTTTCAATATCAAGAGTTCAAGATGAACCTTCACAAATTTATAAATATGTGTTTAACAAGTACTACAAAAACAAACAGAAGATGGAAAATAATTTTGAAAAAAAAATAAAAATTAACAGATTGATGAGTAATAATACCCTGTCCTTCCTCGAGCACAAGACTTCCAAAAACAGGCAGTTGATCATCACGTTTATGGACCTTAACATAAGTTGACATTTCTTTACCACTTCTACCCTTCCCAGTATCAATGAAAATTCCAAGGACTTTTTCACTAGCTCATTTATGGGATTGGAATCATTAGGTTCGATTTCTCATCTTTTAGACGATCACAACATAAACTATGAAAACAATGTCGGAATTGAAACTGAAGTTGGAATCATGCCTCAAAAACTTAAACAGATCAAGTTTTTTCAGTCCAATGTTCGAATTCCAATGATTATAGGATGGAATGGAATTGACATAGCAAAAGATAATGTTGAAATAGCAGAAAAAAATATTAATTGATAATTGTAAAATAGGTCATAAATTGAAAACGCGAAATTATTACATAAGTTAGGCAAAAAAAAACTACTCACCATAGCAACCTTATCTATTTGAAAATAAAGCACTAAACCTTTAACACTTTCCTTTCATTCAAGTTGATAAATAGCTAACAGAAAGACTAGTACTTATCTATTTGCAAGAGAATCATTCAAACATCCATGTCAAGCCTATCAAGCATAGATATGCAATTTGTTCGATAGTGTATGAGTTTATATTCCAAATTATCCTCTAAAAAATATCTACCATATTCGATTACATTAATTGCCATACCATGCCATAATTGGAGAACCAGTTAGTAATACTTCCATTTACTCATTTACTGCCTACAAATATGAAAATATTTCTATCCCTTTCAAATGTATGGTTCGTCCCTCTGGTGTTGATTGAATACATTATAACATACATTTAATATGTACAGCATCAGCAGAAAACAAATGCATATTTGATCCAAATCGAACAGTTACTATTAATAATATCTTAATTTGTAAAAAAACACACGAACATATATACAATAAACCTATATGATCGATCTACTTGTGATGTCACACAGTTATAACGTCCTTTTACCTTGTAAATAACTTTGTTAAACTAGAGTGATGAGCAACAGAGAAATTACAGGCGAGAAGGAGCTTACTGGAGATGGCATGACAAAATGAATGGTGTCGCCGACACGACAGATGTGGAAGAGCGCCCAGAGCACTGTTAATCTAACCATTATCCAGAGACCCGTCATCGTTCAATTGAATCTAAGCTTCTCAATGTCAATATAAGTACAAAACAGATCTTCCTCAGATCCTAGCTGGTCCAAGATTTCAGACGATGAGTCGTAAGGGTTTGATGCCAGATTTAGATAGTATGGTAGCCTAAAGTTCACATCGCAATGTGCTCGTCGATGATGAGACGAACTAAACGAAAATTCGCCGAATTTTATGGCTTAGAATTAAGATTTAAAGGATCCTAGTTTTCAACAAGTCATGTAGAGTCTTCACCTTACTCGATTAAATGAAAAGGGCAGACAATTAAAAGAGGAAACCATAGATTTCGGATGTTGGTTCTTGGGGAACGATCGACGATGAAGCTATTAGAGAAAGAGGGATGATGAGATGAAGACGATCGAGGGATTTGGGAGAAAGAGGGCATCGATTGATTTTTTTTTTTTTGGGGGGGGGGGGGGGGATGATCTCTTCAGTACCATAAATGCGCTTAAATTAATTTCATAACCATACCTCTCTGTTTAATTTTTTCCCATTTATTTACAAAAGTATCATAAAAGATCTTAACCCTTAATTTTTTTTTATCTGACTGTCCACTTTTAGTTTTCGGGTTCTCGGGAAACTATAAGTTCTCAAATGATCCTTAATATATATATATATATATATATATATATATATATATATATATATATATATATATATATAGAGAGAGAGAGAGAGAGAGGTTCAAATATTCTAACTAAGTATTGTGTGGATGTAGGAATCAATATGGGCTAATCATTCTAAAAGGATAATTATGTAATGTTACATTTAATTGATATTTTTAAATTAATTAATTTAATATTTCTCCCAAATTAAATCCCTTATATTAGGAAGCTATTTATGAAAATGTAATTGATTTCTTCTAACCCTAAATTTCTCCCCTTTATCTATCAGCCGAATACTCGATCACAAACCATTGTGTGTGCTCGTGAAATTGAAGTCGAGGATGGGGCTAGTCAAATTGAACGGGATGAGTAGATGACGCGTGAAATTCAGGCGAATACTCCATCTGATATACCCCTCTACACCTCCATCTATGAAGTTCCTCCATATCTCCTCATCAATGGCACCCACTTCGATCATTATTCTTCGCCAGAAGACCCGATCTTCCGTTCATAATGCATCCGTTTGGCCTCTCTCTCCAGACCTCACAATCAAGGTACGTGTTTCGAATTTCAATTTGCATGGTATGTTTGAATTTTGTAATTAAAGTGATTTTTGTGGTGTTTATTTATCATGTGATATTATTGATTCCTAGGTTTCCTCTATGCTTGATACCCAAATCATATTATGTGTCGGGGCTACGTGTTCGTTTTTTAAGAAGTGCGCCATAGATCCTTTGTTTTATATTAATATTAACTTGGGTACTTTAATACCCAAGATCAAACCCAAGATCAACAACAAAAAAGATGATATGGTATCTACAATGATTCAACCAGTTGGAAGTGCGCTTCAGTAATCTCTTTTAATTCCCTCTTGTAATATGGCTCATTTTGTCATTTAATTATATTTGGTAAAATTATTATTGTCGGGTAGTATTTTCTGGAAGCCCTTTTCTTTCAAAGAGCATATAATAACTGCCTCCGTTGGGTCTCAAATTAAATGTATGGTTTACTATTTGCATCCATGCATGCTTGTTTCATAACCCCAGTTCTGTATACAATGAGCTTTAAAGTGTCGCAGCTTGTTATTTGTAAGTTCATAGGTTGAGGACAGTTTATATTCAATTTGAGATTAGCGTTTTCAATTTGTGATTACCATTGGCCCTTAGAAGCAAGGGGATAACATTGATTCCGTGAGTTTTATGAATGCATATAATTTTGCATTATGTTGTCTGGTATCATATAATTGTTGTCATTAATTATTCATTACACTACAATATGCACACAATTACTAATATCTCTTCTTCAACTTAAGGTCTATTAAGCTTGGTGTCGAGCCGCCTTATATCATCAATGATGATGATGATGAATGGGGTATTAAGCGGTCCCTACAAAGAGAGGAGTCACCTTTCTTAACAGCCTCTTGCTTGAGTTCTTTGAGTGTGAATGGTGGTGTACCTGGGTATGTTTTCATTATTTTGGAATGAATGAATTATTATTGTACAAGTATATAGTATTATTTGACATTGTATGTTGTAATTGCAAGGTCTCCTTTAAGAAGTTTGCAACTTTTAAAGAATTAAAATGAAGGATGAGACAGCACTTTCGGCATCTTTGATGACAGGGTGGATGTTTATATCAGTTGTATACTAGAGTCCATGAGTAGATATTGTCACTTGTTAGAGCGTTTTATCTTCGAATTTAGCGGAGGTTTGTCATCTCTAAACTTTGTTGATGATTTTTTTTTTTAATATTTGAGAAGACTGTAGAATCAATTCAGTGAGATCTCATCTCACATGCAATGCAGGCAGACTTGATTTAGTAGAAACCTTGGTGTGCAAAGAATTTGTGCTCAACTGACCTAAGATAACCACTTTGGTACTGCAAGCATGCGAACTGTTTCTTCTGAAGCTTTCGAGCTGGTGAAGGTATCCATTGTCTCTCTCTGGTATTTGAAGAACACATGAATATGTTGACTTTTTAACATGTGAAATTGCCCAGTTGATTAATTATGTGTTAGTAATCTCCATTGCAGAGGCCAGAAGTTGAGAAAGAAGATGAAGTGAAGAATTCTAAACTTCTTATGGGATTGAAAACAATGTTGGAGATGATGAGTACAAACACATTTTATGTGTAGAGGCAGCAACAATTGAGAGGTTGATTTGAAGCACGGTGAAGAATGGAAAGTAAGGCAACAATATTCGTTCAGAATTGATTAGCATGTTTTTCTGTCATAATGGATTAGCAACAATATTATATGAGAATGTATTAGTGTTTTACTTAGATTTCAATGTTTTTATTTGATTTTTAATCATTCTCAGTTTTATTCTTTAAGAATAAATGTAATTGTTAATCATTATTACTTGTATTCTTTCAGAATGAATGTCATTTATGTATGTTCATAGTTGTATTAGTTAAGAATAAATGTAAGTACTAATCTTAAGATCTTAAAATTCTTTTCATATAAAATTTATATTTATTAAAAATTATTAATCTTGATATTATATGTTTATAATATTCTGTCGGAATTTAATGTTTTTTTTCAAGATAATGATAAACACATTCTTTTAGAATGTCCGAATTAATATATTTATAATAAAAAAAATCAGATTTTTAAAGTTTAGAGAATTAATTATTCCCTAAAATCTGCAATTTTCCCTTTTTAAATTTATGTTAATTGACTAAAATACCCTTAGAATGAAATTAGATGGTATTTTTCAATTATCTTTAATTTAATAATATGTATTAATCACTTTCTTAAAATAAGTAAAAATGATTGGCTCACAACATTCATACATCCATACAATAATTAGTTAGAATACAATAACCTAAGCATATATATATATATATATATATATATATATATATATATATATATATTACTGAATTTTCTTTTGTTATTCATATATGATAGTTTCACTCATGACGATTCAGTTTTATACAACAGATAATTACAACGTTCTTCTGTAAAATCGATAAGTTTTTTACAAAAACATAACAGTTGGAAAAAATATTTACTAGATATGGGTAGTTTAAAACTTATTTATTAAGTAATTGTATTTGAAAAAAAAATAGTAATAAAACCAATTTTTCTATTCGTTACCTTCACGCGATCAATATTCATGCATTCTCTCACGTTTCCTTCCTCCGTGCGCTGCCATTATGAGAACCACCAGCGATAACGAGTCTCCCTGACCTCATCATAATTGTCTACAAACCCCTTTTCCATTGTCGAAAGTTCTTATAATTGCGTTGTTCATGAGGAGGTCGTAGGTAAGTAATTTTTTGTGGCTTCTTTGTTAAGTTGTCTTTTGTCAATGAGTTTTGGTACGAAAGATTGTGCATTGGTTTTTTTAGTCAACAATTGTTAGTATATAAATTAATTTGATAATGATTCATTGTTACAGATGCAAGTGTCACTTTCAAGTTTCAATTCCATTATATGTTTGTATATTAATTTAATCTTGTGCTAACATACACTGATTCTTTTGTATATGTTTACAGGTTTTATAACCAATACAAAACATCATGGAGTGTTTTCTTTTGTATATGTTTATAGATTTTATAACCAATACAATATGTTTTGTATTAATGTGTTATATTATATAAATTTTGTTTATGTTTTGTTGTTTATAGATTGTCATCAATATGCCATCAAAATTTGTTACATTGTTGTGTTATCATGATGGTAAAAATTGTGATGGGGAAGAAGATATAACCTACAACAAACGACCAAGTAAAGCTATCAAGGTTATGGAACACAATTCAATGACCAGATCAACCAAATTCATATCGCGACATCGATTGATAGACAACAATGGAATGAATAGTAGGTTTGCCACAGACAATGAAAAAGATGAAAGTGGAGATGAATGTGAAATTGACAATGGAAGAAATGCAAGCGTGGAAGGAGATGATTTCGAGATGGCTAATGTTGACAATTGGATGGTATCACACTCTGAAAATAAAAATGATTTAACTCAAGAGTTGGGAGAAAATCCTTTTAAAAATAAGGATGGACTTATCAGAGCTATCAAACTTTATACGATTAAGAAGCATCGACAATATGAAGTGGTTGAAACATGCCCAACAATTTGGAAGGTAAGATGTAAGTTATGTACACAAACAGGTTGTAAGTGGCAACTGCATGCATGTAAACGTCAATGCAGTGGTTATTTTGAAATAACACAATACATTAGTCCACATACTTGTTACCAATATAGAATTACTCAAGACCATCCAAATTTAGATGCAAACTTGATTGCTCAAGAAACTTTTCTTGAACACCTTATAAAGAAACAATCATCTATTAGTGTTCCTACCGTAAGAGTTAAAATAGTTGATAAGTTAGGATATACTCCCCCGTATAGGAAGGTCTGGGTGGGAAAGCGATCATAATCAAAAAACATGTCCCTCTAAACTTAGAAAACAGTGTGCTGATATGTAATTGTGGTTGATCGAGTAGGATTTATTAGAGTTTTTTTTAGTGGTGTTTGATTATATAAGATTTATGCAAGTTATACTTGTATCTATGACCTTTGATGGCTGTTTTTAGTTTTGTTACTTTTTTGTGTATGCTTTTATTCATAAAAGTTAGGAAAAAAAAGAAATTAGATGTTTTTGTCAAGAATTAAACAACCGTTAATATAGAATGATTAAGAAAAAATAACATCTGCAATATTTATGACTTGATAATTTAGCTTAAATTGCTTTGAACAACTTTAAGTGATTTTATTAATCACTTGAGCAAACATTCTCTATTAAGAACTATTTAAACAAAAAAAATAATAAATAAACTCTGATATAATAAAAAAATATGATCATTTCTTTTAATTTTAATTTTACAATATAAATTCATACTATAAAAGTTATGGTGGATAGATATTATCTATATATGATTTTTTATTGTAAAAATAGTTTAAATTGTAAGTAAAAGTAATGAAATATAAAAAGTCACGTGAGATTTATGTATATTCCATTTAATTAAAATTAGTAAGTACTGATAAATACCAAAATACCATGTTTTGGTAATTATGTTTGGAACTACCACACATTTGTAAATATTTTAAAAAAGTATTATGCCTTAGTACAAAACTCTAAAATGGATTTTTGTTTATCCTTTTTGTTCGTACTAATTATCATAATGCTATTTTAAGACATAACTTTAAATTAATATATTTTCATAACGACAGGAGTGAGGGACCTTATCCGTGTCTTTGTTTATACGTATTTAATGTACATCATATACAGGGTATTACTGTTATTACTATTTTTGAAACTACACCGATAAATGAACGAACCCTAGAAATTCTGTCACCTTCAAACTTCTCTCAAACACACACATTGATCTTCGATCTCAAATTTATTCTTGACTATCATATGATATAAAGTGTCGGAAACTTCTCAAATTAGTGCATGTAAGTTTCATAACCCAATTTAATCTGATTGATTTGAAATGATTTCGCATCGAGATAGTGTTAATTGTCATTTTGGAGTTTGTATGATCTAAGATCTTGTTGATTTAGCTCGTTTTCTGTAGTCGAGATGGTGGTCATTTATTTGAATTTGATCTAATCAGTTACGTGTCTGTTTCATCAAAAACTTATTGCATTGTAAAATGTCGATTGCATGTAATTGTTTTCCTAACAATGTGAATTCATTTGTTTAAATGTAAAACGGGGTTTGCTTTTTCTTGGCAGATAATAATCGGAATTTACCCTTTTGGGAGGTTTCCAAGAAGTTTTTGTTTTTAGGTTGGAATCAATAGGGATAGAAAAAGATAAAGATGCAATCGAGATCATATACTAATCTTCTAGAATTGGCTTCTGGGAATTTCCCTGTAATGGGGCGAGAGAGGGACAAGCGAAAGATGCCAAGGATAATGACTCTTCCTGGAAGTATCAACGAATTTGACGATGAGCCAGCAAGTAGTGTTGCATCTGATAACGCTTCTTCACTTTCTGTGGATAGAATCATTATAGTTGCAAATCAATTGCCTCTGAAAGCCAAAAGAAGACCTGATAATAAAAGTTGGAGTTTTACTTGGGATGACGACTCTCTCCTTTTGCGACTCAAAGATGGTTTTCCTGATGACATGGACGTTCTATATGTTGGCTCCTTAAATGTCGATGTTGATGGCATTGAACAAGATGATGTTGCTCAACTCTTGTTGGAAAGATTCAGTTGTGTCCCAACTTTTCTTCCACCTAGCCTCATCGAAAAGTTCTATACTGGTTTTTGCAAGAAACAGTTATGGCCTCTCTTTCACTACATGTTACCAATTTCAGCTGATCATGGAGGTAGATTTGATCGATCTATGTGGGAAGCCTACGTCTCTGCAAACAAATTGTTTTCCCAGAAAGTAATCGAAGTCATAAATCCCGAAGATGATTTTGTTTGGATCCATGATTATCATCTAATGGTGTTGCCTACTTTCTTGAGAAGACGATTTAATCGTTTAAGAATGGGATTCTTCATCCATAGCCCATTCCCTTCTTCCGAAATTTACAGAACACTTCCTGTTAGAGAAGAAATTCTAAAAGCTTTACTCAATTCTGACCTAATCGGATTCCACACCTTCGATTACGCCCGTCATTTCCTTTCCTGTTGTAGCCGAATGTTCGGATTGGAATACCAATCCAAAAGAGGGTATATAGGATTAGATTACTACGGACGAACAGTCGGAATCAAGATAATGCCAGTTGGAATCCACATGGGACAGATAGAATTCGTGATGAAACTTGCTGATAAAGAATCAAGAACCAAGGAACTCAAGCAACAATTTGAAGGAAAAACCGTGTTGCTTGGAGTTGATGACATGGACATCTTCAAAGGCATCAATCTGAAGCTTTTAGCAATGGAACAAATGCTAAAACTACATCCATCTTGGCAAGGAACAGTTGTTCTTGTCCAAATTGCAAATCCAGCTAGAGGTAAAGGTGGTATAGATTTGGAAGAAATTCAAGCTGAAATTCAAGAAAGCTGTAAACGTATAAATGAAGAATTCGGTAAACCTGGGTATCAACCAATTATTTATATAGACAAACCAATGTCAGTTAATGAAAGGGTTGCTTATTACAGCATAGCTGAATGTGTTGTGGTGACAGCTGTAAGAGACGGAATGAATTTAACTCCATATGAATACATCGTATGCCGAGAGGGAATTCCCAATTCCGATTCCGATTCCGGTCCCAAGAAAAGCATGTTAGTGGTATCGGAATTTGTCGGGTGTTCTCCTTCTTTAAGTGGTGC